CTAGGAGTTGGAGGTTGCTGTGAGCTAGGCTGAGGCTACAACATTCTAGCCTGGGTGAGAGAGCTGACTCTGTCTCAACAAGAAAGGAATGTAGAGGGTTGGATTTTTAGCTATAATGAGTGTGTTGTCCTTAACAGATACACATTAAGAAGCACAGGAAGAAATGCCAAGATGAACTCCTTCCCAAGTGGGTTTGTTCTTCTGTCCCTTGGCAGAAAGAACCAGGCTCATCCAAAGACAATAGTTTCACTTAAGGTTGCACAAATTAAGCTAATTTTTCCATGTGTCACTGAGTTAGCAGAGTAAGGATTTTTTTTAAACATTAAAAATACTTTTGTTGAGCGTGAGAACCAGTGAAAGTGTTTTAGTACTTGAACTGTATTCAAATTTACTGTTTATTACTTTTCATTGTTTTTCAGCCCTTAATCAAAGATTTCACAGCACTTGGGCAGAATCCTATGGATCTGCTTTGCAAATGGGCTTTCACATATGTTAACTGTGACTTCTGTTAAAGAAGCCCAGAGTTGGAGAGTAGTTAAAGTGGTAAAAACAGATTCTATTCAGGAACTATTGCAATTAGGGAAAGGAGACCGCAGTATAGAACTGGGCTCAGTTCCAAGCAGAACAAGGACAAGTGGGGATTTATAGCCAAGAAGCAGGTGTGAGGGGCAGGGGTAGGTGGTAGATGAGGAGGCTTCTTGCTGAAGGCAGCCAGGGGAACAGACATCCGGGCTGGGGGTAAGAATGTAGCATATATTGAGGGGGTCAGGTACCCAGGGTGGGTGATTCTCTCTAAACTGATTTAACAGGATTTGTGGTATAACTGCATGATACAGACCCAAGACACTGAAGCTCATGGTTGAGGCCAGGTTGAGAAGAGAGTTTAGAGGAGCCTGACTAGGTTGGGTCAAGGAGAGAGTCTTTGTCACATTTCCTGGTCAGAGTTTACAGAGTCAGATATGTACTATTCCCTGGAAACCAGTCTCTTGAGAAGGCCACATGACTGCAGGATTGGATAAAGTATTTGTAGCTCCTCCTTAAACACTACCTACAAAAAGGGCATGTGCTTTAAAGCCAACCAGACCTGGGCTTGAATTCTTGCATTACCACCCAGTTGCCATCTAAGCTGACAGTTAACTTCTCAGCCTATTCTTTCATCCGTGAAATAGGGTTACTAATACTTCCTTCTCAGGGTTGTTGAGAGATTAATGAAGATAGTTGGTGTGAAACACTGATACAACTTTGGAAACCTTTATTTATAAAGGTTAAGTAAACAGCTATTCTAAAGATCACCTTCAGGGCTGGAGAGGTTCTTTTAAATATCCCCAGTGATTACAATCTTGGTTTTCTGGATGTTTGAAATGGCCTAAATATTCAAAGCCCATCACAGGAAAAGATGATCAAACTGGGCAATACTGGTTTTTGGTCAGAAATAAAGTTTACCTCTTAAGTAATGAGGCTGCTGTTGTAATATTACTCGGAAATTGGCTCTAAAGAAACTACCAAGAAGAATTTTCAAAGTGATTGCCATGCCTTACCAGGTGTCCTCAAACTACGGCTCATGGGCCATATGCAGCCCGCGTAAGACATTTATCCGGCCCACCAGGTGTTTTTGCCACCACTGCCTGTCCTTCTCAGCAGCTGACTCGTCCCAGGGCCCGCAGTCCACCCCTCAAATGGTCTGAGGGACAGTGAACTGGATCTCTGTTTAAAAAGTCTGAGGACCCCTGCACAGTGGTCATCAGCTTCCTCTCTGCATCTGTCCAGTTCTAGCTGCCACTGTCCCTGCAGCCTCAGATCCAACATCCATCTCAATCCAGCCTGCCCACCCGCTCACCCCTATCCATCTGGAGACTTAACATTTAGTCACCTTCCCAGACTTACTTTCTAGTGACACCTTTATAAGGGCTGGATTCCTGAACTGGCTCCTGGATCACTCTGCTGCAGATGGACCAGATGCCCAAGAATCATAAATGTTGCCTTATTAAGAAGCTGCTTTTACCTTCAGATTCTAATGTCATCACAATTCATTGACTTGGGTTCTTCCCAGCTCCCCAGTCCCAGCGAGCGACCCTGCTGAGCCCTCTCTGTGCCCCAGCTCTCCCTGGCATGCCAGTTCTCCTGCCACTCAAGGATGCAAGTTAATCATGTTCTTCTCTACAATCAATAGAATTAAATTCTGACTGGTTTCAATAAAAAATTAATGAATAGTGGGACTTGACAGAAGATCAAGAAAGCCTGGACAACCAGGCTCAGGGAATGGGTAAGAAGAAGAAAAGGTCACCTTTGGGTAGGACCAGAGCCACTGCAGCCACCAGCTGTGAATGCTGGACCTCAGGGCCAAACCACCCTGTCAGTACTGCTCCTCAGATCCCGTGCCCCTCAGCTATCCCCACTGCAGGCATCCCCCACATGGACTCCCCTCTGTGCCTGCTTCTTTGACTGTGTAAATGTCTGGAGTCGGTTTGGTTGCTCTATCCAGGTCACAGGCCGATGCCCCAGCTTTGAAAAAGCCTGGGAAAGTATCTGACATCTTCAGCTTCTACTGGCCAAACAAAAGTTAAGTATACATTATAGGTAACTGATTGTCTAGAAGGTCTGCTTCAAAAAAGGACATCCACTTTAATACAGTAAGCTTTAGTTCACTGGAAATTCTAAATTTCTTAAATATGGGACACCTTCCTGGAAAGCCTTTAAAAAGAGGTTAAACCTTTAGACTCAGAAATTTCACTTTTCAGAGTCTATAATTAGAATGCAATGTGAAACAGACTAAAACTTCTTCACAAAATGTTTACTGAATTGGTAACTATGACAAACAACTGGGGAAAAAAACCCATTTATTTCAGCAGAAGATGGTTGCAAAATTATGGTACGCTGACCAGAACAGTATGCAGCCATTAAAAATTACATTAATTTTAAAGACTCAAAGCAAGACATAAAACTGTCTACATTTAAGGCAAAATTATATACAGAATGGCCTCAATCATGTGAAAATATTGACAATTGGGTACGGAAGTAGATGGAGATAGATAAATATCTTAGGAAGGTAGCCATGCTGAGAAGTGGTGGAAGCTATAAAAATATTTCTTTTCTTATTTCTACTTTCTGCATCTTGATGATTTTTATTACAAAGGGGATGCACTGACTATATTTCTTGTATATTTTTAAAACTAATTCTTATAACAGTCTATTATTCTAGATTTAAAAAAACTAAGAGCCATAGTGTTTATCACAATGACACACACCATTCTACAAGTCACTACAACTGGAGTTAGCTGGAGGGGCTGGGTATGAGATGATCTTTGCCAATTATTTTTGAAAGTGTATTGTTTGAATAATTGTAATTTCTATAATTTAAATGTTTTAAATTGGCAAAGTATATGTAAAGGAAATATAGCGAAATATTAAGGAGGGACTTGCATAAAATACTCAAAAGGACTGAAAGTAATTAGGTGAATAAATGAAAAGATTGCAAATATTAACCCAAAGAAAGATGGTAGAGTGTGATATTAATGTCAAATTGGTATTTAAAGCAGAAAGCATTACTAGAGATAAACAGGGACACTTCATCATGCGAAGAAGTTTACATTCTTCTCATGATGTCTCTCTTCAGAAGACATAAGAATTTTAAATTTGTATTCAACCTAATAACCTAGTCTCAAAATATGTATAGAAAAAATTGAAGAAAGAAATCAAGTGATACTTTTGGTTAGGCATTTTAACATACCTCTCTCAGCAAAGGATAGAATAAGCAAACTCTTTTTTTTTTTTTTTTTTGAGATAGTCTTACTTTGTTGACCTCGGTAGAGTGCTGTGGCATCATAGCTCTTAGGCTTAAGCAATTCTCTTGTCTCAGCCTCCCAAGCAGCTGGCACTACAGGAGTCCACCACAATGCCAGGATATTTTTAGAGATGGGGTCTCACTCTTGCTCAGGCTCTCAAACCTGTGAGCTCAAGCAATCCACCTGCCTCATCCTCCCAGAGTGCTGGGATTACAGGCATGAGTCACCATGCCTGGCCAGAATAAGCAAACTCTTAAAATAAGCAAAAAAAAAAAGCAAATCAGTAAAATACAGAATACAGAAGATTTGAACAAGGTTAATAAACTTAGCATAACTGACTACTAAGGAATACTCCCACTAACAAGCACATAAAACATTTCATTTTCAAGGTCACTTGAAGCATTCATACTTTATAAAAATAATAATTGAAACAAGGTCCAACTATGTTGCCCAAGCTGGTCTAGAACTCCTGGGCTCAAGCAATTCTCCTGCCTCAGCTGGGAGAGGAGCTAGGATTCGGGCACACGCTGCTTTGCCCAGCTACTTGAAGCACTTATAAAACTGACACACACACTGACAGCAAAGCAAGTCTCAGCAGCTTTCACATCACTAAAATCACACGGAATCTGTTTTCTGGACATCAGAGAATTACACAAAACATCACCATTAATAGAAATATAGATATTACTAGGAAAAAGATAAGTAAAAAATTCACAAATACTTGGAAAAATAGCAATATAGTTCTAAATATCTTGAGGTACAAAAAACAAATCAAAAAAGAAATTAGAGAATATCTAGAACTGAATGAGAAATAATAAATCATTCTTTCTCAGATGTTTTATGCAATACTTCTAATTTACTAAACTAAGATAGTAAGTTTTTATGCAAAATAGAAATACATTTCTTATTCAAAAAAGAGCTAGGCTCAGTGCCTGTGGCTCAAGTGGCTAAGGCGCCAGCCACATACACCTAAGGTGGCAGGTTCAAATCCAGCCCCAGCCCGCCAAAACAACAATGATGGCTGCAATCAAAAAATAGCCAGGTGTTGTGGCGGGCACCTGTGGTCCCAGCAGCTACTTGGGAGGCTGAGGCAGGAGATTTGCTTGAGCCCAGGAGTTGGAGGTTGTTGTGAGCTGTGATGCCACAGCATTCTACCCAGGGTGACAACTTGAGGCTCTGTCTCAAAAAAAAAAAAAAAAAAAAAAAAAAGAGCTAAGCAAGTATTATAGCTCTTTCAAAATTTGTCTAGCAGATTTTCTGGTTTTTACCAGAAGACTGTCTACATTAAAAAATAGCAAAGACAAAAGTCAGAGCTGTATCTGTACACATGACCACACAAAAAAACAAAGGTCAGCTTTGAGAAACACCAGTTCTAAATCCTTCAAAACACAAGGGCCATTTCGAGGTGAGCCTATACTTTCACTACACAATTTGAGCAAGGAAATTAGTATAAGTAAGAGGCTCAAATACATTTTTAAATTTTAATATGCATGTAATGGTGTCAATTCAGGTTTAGTAAGCGGTAACAACTAAATATGACAGTACAGGAAGTATCACCCAAAGCAGATAAAATATGCAAATGAGGGGCTACAAGTCGGAAATCTACTCCAAGAGCTTGAGCTATGTCGGTCAGTAACCTGTACCAGAGGCAAAGAGTCCCGGGGTCAGAAATTTAGAAAGCAGACGTTGGTGTCTGCTCCAGGCTTCACATTCTCAGCACACGAGGCTGCGCTTTACAGTCAGAACTCCTCATTTGGGGACCTTCACGACTACTCTGCGTCTGCACTCTGAGTATCAAGCAGTCTGCACTCCGTGAAAGAGGGTGAGTGACAAACGTGATTTCACAGTATGGATGGGCTTTGTACACTGTAGAGGGCTGTGTAAATGTCCATGATCACTGCATCACAGCCCTGTCCCTGATAAGCGCTCGCTATTGTCCCAGCATTAGCACAGACACTTGTGGATGGCTTCTGAAGTAGCCAGCTTAGAAAGTGAATATTTCTCTCTTTTATACAATACCACTTCCATGTACTTTTCCAAGTTCTTTTTTTTTTTTTCAAATACTATAGTGATAAGAATAATAGGAACAGTGTATTGAGCAGATAAGAACATGGCAGGCTGAGTACAGTGGCCTATGTCTGTAATCCCACCACTTTGGGAAGTCTAGGGCAGGAGGACTGCTTGAGCCCAGGAGGTGAAGACCAGTTTGAGCAGCATAGTGAGACCTCATCTCTATGAAAAGTAAAGTATTTTAAAAATTGGCTGGCCATGGTGGCTAACACCTGTAATCCTAACACTCTGGGAGGTTGAGGCAGGTGGATTGCCTAAGCTCACAGGTTCAAGAGCAGCCTGAGCAAGAGTGAGACCTCATTTCTAAAAATAGCTGGGCATTGCAGTGGGCACCTATAGTCCCACCTACTTGGGAGGCTGAGGCAAGAGAATCACTTGAGCCCAACATTTTGAGGTTGCTGTGAACTATGACACCACGGCACTCTACCAAGGCAACATAGTGAGACTATCTTAAAAAAATTTTTTTTAATTTAATAAATTAGCCCAGCATGGTGGCACATACCTATAGTTTTACCTACCCCTACTCAGGAAGCTGAGGTGGGAAGACCACTTGAGCCCAGAAGTTCAAAGATGCAATGATCTATGATCTCACCACTGTACTCCAGGCTGGGCTACAGAGCAAGACCCTATCTCAAAAAGAAAAAAAGAAGAAGAAGAAGAAGACGTGGCAAACTGTGTGCTTTACCCGTATCATCGCTGATCCTCAGTTGTCACAACTACTCTTCAAGGTATTTTTCAAATTTCTCGAATGAGGACACTGGTGGGCACTGAGAGTTATTAGCATTTAACCTGGGGTAGACATAGGAGGGTGGCAATGATGAGGGGTAATATGAAGAGCCCCCTTATAAAAACACTGGGAGGGACAAGTGTGCTCATTTCTCCCAGGGGTGACTCGTCTTCTCTGATGTTCTGTGGCGAACTAACCGACTGGGTTAATTAACTCAGTCACACTGCCAGTGAATACAGATGCAGCACTCAAAACTGCTGGCAAAACTCATGCTTTCCCCATTATATTTCAGTTATGTGTTATAGAATATAATTTAAATTTATTTCTTAAAGACACATAATAAGTGATCTTTGTCAAAAACTTCAAATAGACAGCACAACTTTTTGCCCAAAACATCTAATATGAATCCAATCAAACCTCTACTTCTAGGTTATAGTAAATGCAGGGAATAGAGAAACAAGTTAAATGACATCATAAGGAAACAATCGGCCAAATGCAAGCTATGGAGCAGTATACAAGATAATCAGTACATATTCTTCAATGTGAATGTCACAAAAAAGAAAACTGCTGGGAGAACAGCCCTATCTTCAAAGAGACTACAGAGGCCTAACAGCCAATGTAATAGTATATGAACCTTGATTGTCGAACTTGGGTTGGGGATTAGAGGGATAAAAGATATTCTTGAAATAATTGAGGAAATCTGAATATAGAATAGATGTTAAATAATATATTGGATTGTTGCTAATTTATTTTATGTTTCAAATTTTTTTTCCTTTTTATAAAGTTTTAAAGTTTTAAAAGTTATAAACTTTTTTAATAAAAGTTTTATTCTACAATCTATTATTTTTCTTACAAACCCTTATGATGAGGGCTCACTTTCAATAGATCACAGAAAGGGAGCCGCTCTACCTAATGAACCCTTGACCCAGATAGTCAAGTTTGCAGGTAGTTTACAAATGGTGCACCAGGTTCCACAGGAATGTGAGTTACAACAGGAGGGGGGCGCCCACCTTTCTGATTGCACCCCACTTCTTAGGATGAAGGGCATTTCACACTGGACCCTGGTCCACAGTGGGGGCATGTGCCATGGCCTGCCAGCTGACTTCCTAGGTCACCTAAGTTGTGTGTGATAATGATACTATGGCCACTTACGAGAACAGACTGACACCTCGCAATGTATGTCAACTTACTCAGGGATTAAGCATGATGTCTGCAACTTCCAAATCCATAAAAGTGTGTGGGGAGAGAGAGAGAAAAACAGTGGGTACAAGAGAATAAAAAATGCTAATAAGGGGCGGCACCTGTGGCTCAAAGAGGGCACTGGCCCCATATACCAGAGATGGTGGGTTCAAACCCAGCCCCTGGCCCTGGCCAAAAACTGCAAAAAAAGTATTTCAAATTGTATAAAACAGCACTCTGTACCCCATGGCAGTATTAATGTACATAGCTATGATTTAATAAAAAAAAAAAAAAAAAAATGTTAATATGGCTCTGAGCCTGTAGCACAATGGTTACGGTGCCAGCCACATACACTGAGGCCGGCAGTTTTGAACCCAGCCCAGGCCAGCTAAGCAACAATAACAACTGCAACAAGAAAATAGCCAGACATTGGGGCAGATATCTGTAGTCCCAGCTACTTGGGAGGCTGAGGCAAGAGAATCGTTTGAGCCCAGGAGTTTGAGGTTACTGGGAGCTGTGACGCCACAGC